AACAATGGACGACGAATTTGGATCACGCTTGGATGATGAGGCGATTGTGATAACTGTGTATTGATGATGGTTTATTAGCTAGTAATGGAAATGTGTAATTTAACTGTTTTGCATATTAATTATTGCTGTTTTTATTGTCTTTGCTGTTTGCTGTCTGGAAACCGCTGTGAGTCGCCCTCGGGCTTGAGATACAGCGGTATACAAGAATAGTAAGTAAATAAATAAATAAATAAATAAATAAATTAAATATGATCTCTCTAAAGAGGTGGAGAACATGGACTCAATATCTCAACACTAAATAATCAGTGCTATTAGGCCTCTATCTATGTATGACTGTCTTGTTTGTGTATAAAACGGCATTGAATGTTTGCCACATATGTATGTTCTGTAATCCACCCTGAGTCCCCTTCGAGGTCGGAAGGGCAGAATATAAATACTGTAAATAAATACTGGCAGAAAATAGAAAACATTGTGCAGGTTTGAACAATCTTATTGGGAAACAGATATACAACAGACTATGCTGCTATTCAAAAACTGGTACTTCCAGCAAGTAAGGAATGCTAATAGACAACTTCATCCTAAATGATTTTATTATCTCCTTCTTTGAAATTTCCTGTCTCCTATATGACAAATTATTTATAACTTAATTAATAAAATATTTTCTATTATTAACTTATTTTTTCTCTGCTATAAAATTAATTTTTATATGGACGGGTATTTGGGTCCTATTTGAAGAGCAATAAAACACAATATACAATTCAAAAAATACAGTAGCCACCTTGAGTCCTCCTGCAGGGGTGAGAAAGGCGGGGTATAATTAAGGCAAATAAATAAAATAAATATAAATGAAATTGCTCTTGAACATACAAAAGCAAAACACAATATATGCTATGAACCATAAAAGTTCAATTTATTTTATTCAGTTTACAGTGAGACATAAATTTAAAAACATATAATGAATCACACAAAGGATTTTCAGAATAATCATCAAATGACATTTTTATTATAAAGCAGAGGACTGGGTTGGGCTTACTGTAAAATATTACAGTAAGTAGAGAGGAACTGGCAAGAAACAAGTTGTTTACATATATTCAGTCCTTTAAGTCATCAGAGATGAATTCTCATATAGTGATATAACACCTACACATGGCCTGCACACGTAACTTTTTTGATAGAGATCTTATTCTGATCCTAAGGTGCATAAGCAAAAGTGAACTAAACTACACTGATGATTAATAGTCAACTTACTTCAGGCATATATGTAATACCATAGCGAAAACAGTTCGTCCAAAAGAAGCATCCACCTTTATTCAAATGTCTAGTCTGCACTGGGCAATAAAAATGGGCAATTGTGATCGTGCTGTGATTTGCCAGAAATCTAAGAGTGAGGTACCGTATACCAGGGCCTTCAAAATCAACAGAGCATTTTTGTTTGAATCCATAAATTACGAGGTAATGTAACCATGTGGTATACCTAATAAATGGTTTCTAATAGAAAATTTTAAAAGCACTATGTAGAGGCTGTCATTGATCGTAACAGAAGGAGAGTTTAAGAAACTGACAACATGGGAGATGATCCATATAAAAAGGAAGGGTGTTATGTATTTCTAGAAAGTATCATAAATCTTCAAAGGAGAAGAAAGATGTTCTAAATAAAGACAGGCAAGGCAAAATAATGTTCTGTTCCAAAGACAATGCGATCAAGACAATCCCAAAGTAGCAGAAATCAAAACCGTGATAGTGTTTTCCATTCTGCAAACGTGACTGCAATCAGGAATGCTATTTTAAAGATAAATAACCTTAAGTTGTAGATCACAAGTGGTTCAAAAAGCATCAAAAGCACAGGTACTAATGGAAAGACCATGACATGCAGGGTTGAAAGATTTTATAGAAATTGTTTCGTAGGAATCAGTGAACAATAAACCACAAGGTGCTTGAGCAGAGATAGGTACGAAATGCACCTTTGCTCTTTCAGCTAAAGCAGAAACTAGAATGGAAGAACTGGACATGGTACCATTTACAGCTGTCAGTAACAAAAATTTCAATGTCAATGGCACTACAGGCATCATTTTTAAGACTTACACACTGAATTTCTCAAACAATGACGTCATCTTCCCTATGAATATAAAAGTGGTGTTGAACAGCAATGTGAATAGTATTTTCCCAATGAAGACCTAGCTTCATAAACTCTTAAAAGTTCATCTGAGTATAAGACTGAATTTTGATCAAAGCCAATACCTAGTCACTCTCAGATCATATAGTATTTCCTTCTCAGAACATATATCACTTGAAGAGGGCATTAAAGATCACAAGTCTTTAAAGCAGTGGTCTCCAACCTTTTTTTGACCAGGGAACACTCTGACCAGAGACAACTCTCCTATATTAGTACCCAAAGGGTTACGAATCAGTTTTTGTCAACTTTAAACTGAGTTTGGTTACGTGGAGTGCTGATTCAGAAAACTGCATTGGATAGACCACATCAGCCCTGGTTTCTGATACAGACTATATGCCATTCAGTAATCACCATCTGCTAGCCCACAGAAAACCATATTTAATAATCAGATCTCCAAATCGAACTGCAAAGGCTCTGGTATAAACCAGTACAGGTGGTCCCAGTGGTAATCGGAACACTGGGTGCCGTGCCAAAAGATCTCAGCCGGCATTTGAAACAATAAACATTGACAAAATCACGATCTGTCAACTGCAAAAGGTCACCTTACTTGGATCTGCACGCATCATTCGAAAATACATCACACAGTCCTAAACGCTTGGGAAGTGTTTGACTTGTGATTTTGTGATACAAAATCCAGCATATATATCTCGTTTGCTGTGTCATACTGTGTTTTTGTGTCAGAACAACAACAACAACAACAGCAACAACTTTGGGGGACTCCTTTCCTCGCTCGTGCTGCCAGGTGAATCTTCTCCGCCCTGGCCTGGGAAGCCTCCCATGGCCAAGAAAACACTGGTGAGCACAATGGCCTTCTTTCCTTCTCTCCCTATCCTTCTCTCTCTCTCTCACCCTCTTGTGCATGCCACCAGGTAAGTCTTCTTTATAAGTCTTGACCTATAAAGCTCTATACGGTACTGGCCCAGCTTACTTGTCCGAACGCATTCCTCCCTACGTCCCACCTCGTAATCTAAGATCATCCAGGGAGGCCTTGCTCTCGCTCCCGTCAACAGCACAAATGCACTTTGCAGGGACGAGAGACAGGGCCTTCTCAGCTGTGGCCCCCCGTATATGGAACACACTCCCAAATGAGGTAAGATCTGCTCCCTCCCTCCTGGCTTTCAGAAAGAAATTAAAATCATGGTTTTGGGACCAGGCTTTCAGGCAGTAGATGTATTTAGCACTTTAGAGGGATATTGACTGGAACGGCAACATGGCTGATGAGACTGTTACTATTTTAATGATTGCTGATGTATTGTTTTAATTATGATTTATGTTCAATTGTGGTTTTATTATTGTAATTGTTATGTAGTGGCATCGTATCGGTGCCCATTGTAAGTCATCCTGAGTCCCCCTTCAGGGATAGAGAAGTGACGGGGTAGAAATACCAGAAACAATAAATCAATAAATTCTTCACCCTAGCCTGGGAGAAGGCCAAGAAAGCTCTGGCATCTCCTTACTTCCTGCTCTCCCTCTCACGGACCTTATTTTAGATCTTGCAGACGACCAGTGTGCCAGGCCCACAGGTTGGGAACCACTGCTTTAAAGGGAGGGGAAGGTGAATGGGAAGCCAAAAACATGCACAAAGGAGGAATGGAACTTTAGTTTGCTCTTTTTCTAGAAGCACTTAACACTGAATGTAATGACGATCACTTGCTATGATAGATAAAAAATGAAACTGAGTTAGAAATTGTTTGTCCATCATGAAAGAAAAGCTATAACTCTGACTGATACACTCTAATAACTGTTTGGAAAAAGCATTATTAAACCAAAAATTATCTTAAAATGTTCTAATAAACTCACTCTACTTTAATTGACTCTACTGTCAATTTCATAAAGGACACAAAAATATGAACAGGAAAAATATGTTGCATGTACTTTATTAATGAGTCAACTACAACAAACCCATCTAGTCTTTGTTACTAAAGAACATTCTACTGAATTTAAAGGGATGTTGCTGCAAGTAAGTGCACAGATAAGCTCAGCCTTAAATCAAACAGTAAAACATCCATGCTGCCACTTTATCTGAAGGAGGAGCTGAGGAGTACTACTACAGGCTGATGATATTCCTGCCCAATCAAAAGGATGCATAAAAATGTAGTAATAATAACCCTGAATTAAAAAAAACATCCGACTTACGAACGACTCATAGTTAAGAACGGGGAGAGACAACAGGAAGTGAGAAAAGTCTGCCCCTCGGAAGGGAAATTCACTACTGGAAGCGTTATCATAGGGCAAAGGTGACTCCACTGAAGTTTTTCTCCCCAACCCTTGTTTCCACAACAAGCCACATTTTTCAAAATCCAATTATCACGGGAACAGAAAGCAAAACAAACACAGCAGGAGCATTAACCCTTCCCTATGCTATTCAAAGCATGCATACACATATATAGATAAGTGATAGGTACACTTTTAAAAGTGTCTGTTACGATTTACAAACAAATTAAGAACAAAGCTACAGAATCTTTCGTGTTTGAAACTTGATGACTGCCTGTACAGAGAAAATGACTGTAAAAATTATTCAGAACGATCAGTGAAACACCATTATTTTACACCTGTTTGTTCAATAATATTTGGCTGTTGAACTTTAGTTTGCTCTTTTTCTAGAAGCACTTAACCAACAATCACATTCATTTGCTTCATATATGGTTTACACTTTCCCCAATTCTAAACACAAAGTAATAGCATCTAACCTGCTACTGAATGTTTTATCATAGTGTCAAATATAAGTAACAGTTTTACCTTATACATTTTGATGCTAGCTTTTTATGTAAATACAAATAATTAAGAAACAGAAGAGAAGAAATGAGATAATTTCAACAAGTCATACCTAGTAATAAGGACCGCATTATCATGGTGGGCAATTCCATTTTCTGAAATGGTGTTTCCATCACTTTGGTGAGAGAGAATGGATTTCTGCCACTTACAGAAGCTATCAAGGGACTTGTCTGCATGGTGATTTATCTCCAAGTTTGGCTGCAATACAACATGCATACCAGAAATGTTCCAAACAAATTACTAGGGTCAACGGTTAAGACTTCTGAAGTCTAAATCTGATCTATAATTAGAAGCAGTGATTTCTAGGAATAATTTCTTCTTGCCAGATTTCATTTGTGTTAAAAAATCTGACGTATACTTTATTCTGTGCACACATACATTAAAACTTCAGTAATGGTTTGTCAAATCTAAGAATTATAAATTAGTTTCAAATGTTACCTTTTCCACAGACAGAGTTTTTAATGTTGGGAAAGGTTATATTAAATTCAGCTTTTAGAGTTTCAAAATCCAAAAACAGAAAACAAGCTGCAACAATGAGCACCCAAATCTGCCAGCTAGGTAATTTTCAGTAGATAAAAGTGAAAATGTTGGAAAACATTTAAAAATCATTTCTTTCTAAACTCTTCTAATTTTAAGAGTACAAATGGCTGCAGATGAGGTTTGGTTATTAAACGCCTTTACAAAAAACATGTTCTTTTCTTACAGTAATTAGATTAGACAGATTCTGTAACTTATATTTTAAAGAACAGAGATATATTTCAGAATTTATTCTTACCTGATCTTCTGTGAGGACAATTAAACGAGTCACTATAATATTCACAACGTTTCCTAGGCTGGAATCACGATAAAGTTTGGCAACCTGACCTCCAGAAAATAAGAAAAGACACAAAGTCAGACAAAATTCCTAGAAAACTTAATACATACATTGCACATAATTCAGGCTATCTCGTGATTTACAAATTCAGAGATATTGTTAAGAGTCAATTCTGTTACGTATGATGGATAGGGATGGAAACAAAGAATTTTTCCAATCCCACTAACCACCATTATAGCAAACCAACTTCTAAGGGAAGCCTCATTCTATCAACAGAAATAATGGTGTGCAGATCTATTAACATTCCTTAACTCAACATTTTTACAAAAGCAGAGTTCACTTGTTCTGCAGAATGCAACAGAACACTGTTAAGAGTGGAGTTGCACATGTACCTTAAACCAGTCATTAATAAACATTAATAAACCACACTATTATCATTACTTCTATGATAGTATTATTTGTGCAATTGGTGCATCGTATACGCAACTGTAAGTCAATCTCATGATAAGTCAAGAGCAGATTTTGGGCACAAAATTACAAAATTTGCTATAACCCAAGGATGAGTCAAGGGTACAACTTAAGATATAAAAGATGAAGCAAAGGAAAGCAATGTCAAATTACTTTAAAGATTGGGTGGATGTACAGAAAACTAAATTGTGACTGTGCAATGTGTGGACAGCTCACTTTGTACTGCTCACACATGTATGCACTTCATGAAAAATGACCTGAGAGGTAGAGAAAACTAAAAGGTCCACTTCTGGGAAGAAGGAAGCTGAGGCTGCCTAAAAGTCCCTAGAGTCTACCTGCAGGAATTTGGAGGGGTGAGAAAGATCAGGGCAAAAGGCAAAAACTCGGGGGGGGGGGGGGAATGTTTATTTATTTATTTTGGCTTAACCCATGTGAAAATGGTACAGGCAGTATAAATAGTGGGTTTAAAGAAAGGCAAGACCAATAAGAAAATAAGAATAGGAGAGAAAGAAGAGCAATGGTACTGAAGTGGAATAATTAATATTTTCTTTAAACTATTTTAAACTGATTTTGAGTGTACATAACCCTGAGATAGTCTTGGAATAAGGTGAGATACAATACAACAGCAACAATGATCTAAATAGTGCCAAAACATAATCTGAAAAACAAAAAGAGGGATCAAACTTACAATATTCATGACACTCAAAATATAATGCTCAATATCTTTACGACCATGATATCCCACCATCATTTTGTCTGCTACTACAAGCGTCTCCACAAAACGTTCAGTGCTTATTGATCTCTTCAGACGATGATTATTACTTAATGTGTGATTAACAGGATGTAAAGTTGGAAAAGCATCTGTATTGTTCAACCACCATGGTTTACTGATTTCTGTGAAGTCTTCTAGGAATCAAAATAATTTGTAACATAAAATAGTTTGCTGTATTTAACATCTTCATATAATCTGATTTATATTATATTAAAATGTCTTGAATACTCTATCAATCTCCATGCATTGCAAGCAGAAATTAACCCATTTTAATAAGCACTATACATCTTACAGTTTGAAAAGAAAACATTAGAAAGCTTGAAGTAATATACTAGGTTTTTCAAAGAATTGTATATATTTTAGCACATTAATTTTAATAAAAAGGGAAATGGTTGCATAAATATCTATGATGCTTCCTATCAATATTCATGTTTTTATATAGTTAAACATTTGTTCAATATTGATGGTTGGAAGTGCAAATGTTGCAACTCTATGAGATGGACTACAATTTTCAGCTTAATTTGAACAATTCACAGGACAAAGATACAAACAGGTTTCTACTTCAGCCTGTCTTTAAAAATTAGCCTTGTATTAGAAAAGAAGGAGGTGGGGCTAATTTCATCATAAGTCTGCCCCAAGTTTACCATGGGGTGAATCTCCATGATATTATATGGGTTAATACCTAAGTTGAATTACTGTGTAGTATTTTGGTGCCTCTATGGGTCAAAACAATAGCAAAAATTACTAAGTATGACATTTATATGAGTTTCTTCCTTTCAATAAATTTACAACATTGCCTTGAGTTACTGTGAGCATGTTGGTCACTTAGAATAACTTTCACCAAAATAAGTAGGTCCTTCCTTTCAGAGTATTTACAAATGACTGATGTATTTGTTAGAATTAAATAAAATCTGCGGCTTAAGTATTTTATAATGCAAAAAACAGCTTTAATCCTGTAGAACACATGTTTTCTTTAATGAAAAATAAAGATGTATATTGGATTGGTAAAGTGCATGTCTCCATCACCATCTTGCATGCTTTCTATGCTAGATGTGCAGAAAGGAGCTTTGCTTTTTGAAAATCCAGAATTATTAACCCAGTACGCTGCTAACAAAGGAAAATGTCTTATACTGAGTTAAACCACAAGTCCAGCAAGCTCTGTACTGTCAATCCTAATTGGCATGAGTTTTCTAGGGTTTTCCAGGTAAGATTTCTTCCTAGTTCTATCCAAGTACTAATCAGAACTGATGCTGCTTGACTTCTGAAATCATGTGTTTCTAAGTTGGTATGCTAATACTCGGGATACTATGCTGGTACATATAGCATGGCTCCCGCAACACCTCTGTCACCAGGTCAATATTTTCATGGTGAATATACAGAAGGCAAAACTCCACCCTGCATGTACAGCACAGAAACAAATGTGATAGCAACAGGATAATAGATTATTTGCCAAATGCAGAAGGCAAATGGTTCAAGGGAAGATACATTTTCCCTTGAATTAAAATAAAAATAGCTTATGTATTTTGTCATAATAAAAGAATGAAACTGTGACTACAGTTCTAATTTCTTTTACCTGAGACACCACAAAGGATATGATCATAGAAAAGCTGGTGGTAAATAGCAGACTTTTTGTATATAACATGAGGATGGCCGCTTTCATAACTAAAGTTATTGGAATTTTCAGTTACATTTCTTAGAGGCTCAATAAAATACTCTTCATCTTCTGTAGCAATAACACCATGCTTAAGAGATAGAAGAAAGAACACATTTAACAGTTAGCCAGTGAAAAAAAAAGGAGAGTTGCTTTTGTCCACGATATTTAATTTACTGTAAGAATTAATAAGTGGTTGAATTCAGGTATACTATATATAATATATACTATAACCCCTATTTAAGTTAAATTGATATAACTAATGTAAGCAAAATCAACACAATCAAAGAAAGAACTTTTTGTTTTTAGTTTATGTACAAAATCCATGTGTAACATTAACATACAAACTCTTAGCTATCACACCTACTAAAAAGAAATAAACAGTGTGGGGATAATCTTTTCTTTGGAGAAAAAGAGGAAAAATAAGTAAAATTCAGTTTTTATTTGTCAAACACCCAGACCACACTCAGGATATGGTTTTTACTATGAGTTTTGTACAGCGGTGGCAATAAGATTAAAAATCAGTAAAATTATTTAGAATTATAAAAACAGAAACCATACATACATACTCATGTCTAGGTCAAAAAACTGAAAAAAAATCCAGCTCAAAAACTTATGTCAAATTATCTGTGGGTCAATGTAGTCAGGGGAGTATCAACCCCCTCAACTCTGACCATCACTTCTGGTGTGGGCAGAAAAATGGCAGAGGTGGCAGGTCTTTGGTGTTTCCTTGCCACAACAGAGAGTAGAGGGGGGTCAATTCATATTTTAGGCTCTCCAGGGATAAACAAGCTGTAGTTCTGTGAGAACCTAAACAACTGCTCCAATTCCCTCTATTTTATGATGCTTCCCTGTCAGGGTAGGGAGATTAGAGGTGTTGGGATAACCTGGAAAAAAGTCTGTCTCTTTCACTATTCCTGATGCAGAAGCAGTTCTTTGGCACTTCTATACAAGGGCAAGGAAACAAGATATTGGAAGACCCTAAAAAATCCCTGATCCTCTCCATTCTCCCCATAGTTTTTGAGCTCTTTGGTGCTTTCACTCCAGGGTGGGAAGAATGGAAGAGGTCAAGTGGTGCTTCTTTTTGATGTTCTTGGGATGAATTCAGTTCTCACACTTTCTGGAGTATCACTTCTAGCCTAGGTGGAAAATGACAGAGAAAGCAAGGAGCTCCACTTTGTCAAGCTCCCACCCTCCTGAACCAGTGCATACCATTTCAGAAGCAATAAGAAGAACATATTATCTAATTCTTCCCATTGAAAAACCTGACACCCACCCATCCCTCTCTCTCTCTCTCTCTCTCTCTCTCTTCTGTCCTCTTTCTCCCCATGGTTTCCCAGCCTACTTTCCCTTTTTTTCTACATCTCCCTGCCAACACTTGTTTGTCCTGGGAAAACCTAAAAGAAGCACCATGCCCCACACTTTCTCTGTTGTGATGCCATTTCTGGCCTCGGTCAAAAAACTGTATTTTGAAGTTATTGTTGTTGTTCATTCGTTCAGTCGTCTCCGACTCTTCGTGACCTCATGGACCAGCCCACGCCAGAGCTCCCTGTCGGCTGTCACCACCCCCAGCTCCTTCAAGGTCAGTCCACATTTTCCTGAATGTATTACTTCCATTACCTACACAAAATGAGTTCTGAGAAGTTTTATTTTGTTTTATTAAAAGGACACCCATCTTCAAAACCCAAAGGAATATTTTGGCCCCCAAACCTCTCCTCAACTTAAACATGGAAGTTTCTGTTTGCATCAGAGGCTGAAACTTAACCCTAAACTATCTTCATATAAGTTGAGGTCAATCAAATTTATTCATGGTATTTAAATTACTCATAAAAACAAATAAAATAAATTACAAGCTCTGATGATCTCAGATTAAAATATCATTCAAACATGGAAGACATCTCAATTAACAAGATTTATCTCTCAATAATGGAGAATATTTATAGCTTTATAAAAGCAGAAACAGTCCCACTGCTACATTCCTTGAGGTGAACTACATAGTCTAGAATGAAATTCAGAACACGACAGCATTCAAATATGTAAGCTTCCCTAGTGGAATTCATTGTCATTTTTTTACTGAGCAAACTTGTATTAGCATTGTCAGTTAGAACAGGAGAAAGACCCATGGCCAAAGATGCAAAGAGTCTAAACCAATCTGAGGAATAAAATGTAGGATGCTTCCAAACAAAGAAAAACAAATCAACAATCATTGTGCCCTTATTTCATCTTTTCCCCCATAGCAGATTCCTCTCCCCCCCCCCCCCCCCCCGCCATTAAACAGGAAGCAGAAAAAGCACACAAAGGTTACAACTGCAGACAAAATGTTTTGGAGTGAGGCATGGTGAACCTACAATAAAAGAATAATCTGGTCCTTTCATCTGGACCAATATGAAAGTTTAAACCTGTACCCTGTTTCTTTTTCAGCTCCCTCAAAATCTGTGGAAAAGCGAGTGAGGGATTAGGGTTAGGGTGAAGTAAGAAAGTATTTGTTCATTAAACGGGGTTGCTACAAATACAACTTTTTGTGTTGTCTGCTAAAGTAAAAACATGAATGCTTGGTTATCTCCCACATGAAAAGACCATTGATGCAAGATACTTTTATCAACTATGCAATCTGAACATGTATAGTTTGTTCCTGAAAATATAAATGATTACTAATCTTGATTTAAACTCCACTACCATATTGCCTATTAGCAACCTGCACAAGTATGCAGGTTTTATTGGTTTTAGGGTTGTAATGTAGGAATTGTTGTTTAACTGTTCAACTGTTTAACTGTTTAATTGATGTTATTTTGTTTTACTACTGTTATGTGATGCTGGCATCGAATTGTGCCTTTGTAAGCCGCCCTGAGTCCCCTTCGGGGTGAGAAGGGCGGGGTAGAAGAAACCGAAATAAATAATAAAAATAAATATGCTATGTTCACTGAGACAAAACTTCGCATCCACAGTGTTGATCACAACCCAATCATTAATGCTTTCCAAGGAGACAATTAAGCTCTCTAGAGATAAGATACACTATTTAAATCTATGGGGTTTCTCTGGGAATAGTAAAGGTTTCTATAGTTAAGAGGACACTTATCTTCAAAAACCAAAGGAATATATCAACAATTCATTGAAAGGGCTTTTCAGTTAAGATATGACAGAACAAAAACTGAAGGACTCACAATTATGGACTAATGACATGGAAACAGGAAGAGGACCTTGAGTCATTACCCTGATAAACTTGCTTCCTTATTCCAAGATATTACTTCTGAAAACAATATGTAATAAGTATAGTCAGTCCCATGTCCTCTGCATAACATATAACTGACAGCTTTCACTGTTTAATATCTACAGCATAATGATGAATCAGGGCTTGTAAGCAGTTGGGAATTGAGCAATCCAGAGGATGTCAGCATTATATGAGAAGCACCATGCCCCACTTCAAATATTGCTTCAAATATTAGTAGGCTACAGTCAAGGAGGAGGAAAGTGAGAAAAAGAACTAGAAATATTGACCAAAAAAATAAGAAGAGTTAAGGGGAAGGGAGAGAAAGATCTAAGAAAGAAAGACCTCCAACTTGAGGAAGAATCGTGCATTTTGAGAGTGGAGAAGTAAAGGGATTAGGAGAAAAGGACCTTCAGTGTGAAAAGGAATTAAGAGGACAGGAACAAAGAAAGAGAACAAGACAGTGCTCATGAGAGTGACTCCTATAACCTGAAACTGAAAGAACTTGGGTTAACTGGCATTTTGACTCCCAGAGTTACTAACACCTAGCAGTCTCCTAATACCAAAGTGTCTGAGGGGAAACACCAATGGCATAAAGGAGGATGGTTCTAAGGCTAGCTCACAACCCTGAACACCAAGTAGTGTTATCAATGTGGTCTGTGGGACACATATAGTATAGCTGCCCCAGCACAAGCAAGAAAAACACAACACTGAGTTCTGAGCAAGTTAACTGTGTGGAAAAGGTCTAGTCTGAGAGGGCACACAGGTTATTAAACACTGAGGAAGACAGATCACCAACTAGGCATGTTGCCAGAGATATTGAAAACCCCAGTGAGTCAGCTATCGTATTACCTTCTGAGCAAACGTACTGTATAGTTGTTTCACTGCATTCAGAAATGGGAGGGTATTTTGAACAAAAAGTGCTTGACCTCACTGCTCTTAATCAAGAACTCTTGAAGCCTCAATAGAGCAATTGACTTCTGAAGCAGGCCAGTGTGAAGGAGGGACTAGGTAGACCTGGTTGCAAGGAAGCCAGCCATGGCCCCGGTTTATGAAGGGGGGGGGGTGTCTTAAAAGGCCAGGCTTGCCTCTGAGGAAATTCAGGCAGGAATTTGAACCTGCAGCTGGCAGGGTTTGAAGCTGACAAAAAGAGTTTTGAGGTGATAGAGACAGGATTTTGAATTTGAAAAGAAGAAAGCTGCCTGTTGTTTTGAGAAATTAATAATTTTACCACAGTGGCCTTGGGGGCGATTTTCAATAGAAGCAAAAATGTAGTAGGTGAGAATCTAGTTTTGAGTTTGGAAAATAAGTAATTTTGGGTTTTAGACATTACATGAAAAGATTGTAACATATGAAAATTGCAACTCCTAGACACTTCCAAGAAAGGAAGAAAGCAAAAGAAAACAGTGATAAGGGGAGATATGACCAGTTAAATGCACAATTCCAGAGGTTAGCCAGAAGAGATAAGGAACTATTTTTAAACAGGCAATGCATGGAAGAAGACAACAAAATAGGACAAACAAGAGATCTCTTCAAGAAAATTAGAAACATTGGAGGTAAATTTCAGGCAAAAATTGGCATGATAAGAAACAAAGATGGCAAGGACCTAACAGAAGCTGAAGAGATCAAGAGAAGGTGGTAAGACTATACAGAAGATCTGTATAGGAAGGATAATAATACTGAGGATAGTTCTGACAGTGTGGTAAGTGAATTAGAACTAGATATCCTAAGGAGTGAGGTTGAATGGGCCTTAAGAAGCATTGCTAACAACAAGGCAGCAGGAGACGACAGGATCCCAGCTGAACTGTTTAAAATTTTAAAAGATGATGCTGTCAAGGTGATGCATGCCATTTGCCAGCAAATATGGAAAACACAAGAATGGCCAT